GAAAATCTGGGAACAACCGAGATAAACAACCCGCTGTATGGTTTACAGGCGCCGGCTTGCAATGTCTTGTTGTTTGCTTGTACAAGAGCCGCAAACGATGAGGCCGCGAGCAGCGAAGCCGCTGGCATTTGCGCTTCTTTTTCGTGCGTTCGGGCCTGCAGATGTTGGTTTGCGCGTGTTTGACTGTTCGTGTCTGTTGTTACGAGCTTCTGGCTTTGCATAACTTGCTGTTGAGGGTTTCGGGCTCGCCTTTTTTTGGCACATTTTGGGTCAAGCGGGTCGTGTTGTGTTTGGGCCTTGCAGACCTGGGAGGTTGGTCTCGGGTTTTAGGGTATTGCGCAGTGTTATGGGCCGTGTTCTTTGTGCCCGACACAAGGCTACTCATATACTCAAGTTCAAGTTCTGGACGTGAGGTTGTTGGGGTTGAGGGTTCAAGGGCATGAGTGATCTGACCGTTCCGAGTCGCTGAGACGTTATCACCGAGCACCCCAAGCCCCCCCCCCCCAAGCCAAGAACGCCTGTCGAACAAAACCTCCCAGCAACCCAGATACCTAGCCCGACGCTCCTTCTCCAAGTCAAAAAAGCGCTGTACACCCCAAAAACCCTGCAAAAGGCACGACGGTACTCCATGCTGTCGCATAAACAACCTTGGCTCCTGGCGGGGGTGTGCAGGTGTCTGCGCTTGCGCTTCTTCGCGAGGCCTCCGAGCTGGGATCAAGCCACCGTCTGCTTGGGGATGTTAGGGCTCGGTCAATTTGGGCCTCTTCGAGTCTAAGAGGATTGTGCATTTGGGAGTCGAAAAGGGTAAAGCTCCAGGCCTCGTACTGGCACACAGCACCTCGGTCGGCTTGAGCAGGGTTTGAGCAGGGCTTGAGCAGGGCTTGAGCACACAAGATCACACAAGCACCATCAAGCACCCAGACATTTGGTGCTTGTCTGGGGCATGTTCGGGACCGTCGTTTCATGGCCTTTGGCGGGGATGCCGGTGGCTTCGTGAGTAAGATCAGCAAGCTCCGCAGCACTCCGCAGCCCTTCCCCGTCTCGTTCCTGTGCAGCTCTGGGAAGAAGAGTGGCCCAAATCTGCGCGGCCCAGCACGACCCTCAGCCCGAAAACCGTACAGTAATTTTCCCCAGCCGCAAAGCCTAAACCCCAAACCTGCACTTGTGCAAGTCCGAGTGAAGCTCAAGGCTGGCGCTCAGGGCGCTGGCCACGCTCCCGTCGCTGCCGGCTTCAAGGGCTTCTGGCAGTGGAATTCAGGTGCAAACGCTTGTTGGGGTTAAAGCGGGGGGAGGGGGGGGGTTGGGGAGGGGCTCAGATTCGCGAACGCGGTATGTGTTCGAGGCTGTTGGTGCCACAGTGCCACATGTCGAATTGCTGTCTTCCGGTTTTTTGATGAAAACTGCTGGGTTCTTGCTGGCTCGCTCAAGTAAGAATAATTCACCATACCACAAACCCATACCCCTTAACCTATGAAAGTATAGTATAAAAGGAGTCTAAGGGAGCGTTTAATTTAAACATACCCCGAACTTCTTTTAAGGGGTATGCCCCAGGGGTATGTGGAATATTTGTTGGAAAAAAACGCGTCCTCCATCTCTGCCACCGGCAACAAGTTCACGGCCCAACCACTTGCCTCTGGTCAGCCAAAGCCTTTTGGGCCCAACCACCCAGATTTCCCTACTGGCCTCGTTCCTCTCCAGCATCCACTCAAAATTCAAAATTCAAAAGCCATCCTGAACCTTCCGGAACCCCACACTCCAACACCCCCCTCTGAAGATCGGGTTCAGTGCCGAGGGCAGCAGATCATTTTGGAGCATCTCCGATTTCAGGTACCAAGTCAAACTGACGGAAACGTTGAAGCTCCCCAAAAGCGACAGTTCCGAAGCCCCAGGTCTTGCAGCTTGAAGCAGCTTGCCCCTCGCATGCCCTAAGGGCGGCACGCGCCAGGCGCTGCAGTGATGACACGCGAGCCCGGCGCCGCTTCTGCTGCCAGGATTGAAACCGGGAATACCTCGGAGCCCCGCAACCTTAAGACCAACCTCCAATCTGAACGACACCAGGGTGCACTGGAATGATTGGGAAAAGCTGGGGGTTTTGTTGTGGAGCTCCCTCTCTCTCTCTCTCTCTCTCTCTCTCTCTCTCTCATGCATTTCTGTTGTAAGCGAAGAGAGCGACGCGAACGTGAAGAAAGACGATGACATGGAGTCTTCGTGCACTCAAAGCACCTACCTTCAGGAGCTTTAGAGCCGATGGCCAGGAACCCAAATTGAGCGTGTGAACCCAAGAAGACGTCCGATTCCTTGTCCGCCAAATTCAACTTCACGAGTCAGAGATCCCGGCACAACCACTCGTTGCTTAACCGGCGCATCTGATGTCTCATGTAGGGATCCGCCTAAAGGGAAACTCCTGGAGACCGAGGTTGCAAGTGCCTCTGTCACACCTTGAACCTTGAGATCTATTGAAACAGGGAGCCTTTGGAATGGAACGAACAAGGCTCAGCAACCCTTGTACCCCCCAGCCGAAGATACGCTCTCACTACGAGTCAACTTCGAAACCAACCCCATGCCAGGAGCGAGAGCTGGAAGAGAGAGAGAATGAGCGCGAGAGAGAGAGAGAGAGAGAAAGAGAGAGTTATCAAAAGTTAGTAAGACTCATCTATGCTTCAGCTTGCTTTGTTGAGAATGCGTGTCAAACAATGAAATGCCAAAAAACCTCTTGTTGACAACAGAAGAAAAAGGACATGTTGTTGCACAAAAGGATTATGTCTTTGGTGTTTTGTTTTGGAGCAAGGATGGTGAACAAATACAAAATGCTGGGTGTGAAGATGCTGTTGTTGAACAACATGTTCGTTTTTGCAGCTCTGCCGATTCAACTGTTCCACAAGCATGTCAAGCTCTTCGAAGATTGCATTTTGGGTTTCGACACTTCGATTTTCCAGGGTTCCGAATCCCCCATAGACCTTCCACTTGGGGTCGAAAGCTTGGATTCTAACAGCTTGAATTTGGGTTTCAGCACGGGCCTTTGCTTTCGGCTTCAGGGTGTCGGATGTCGCAGGAGTAATAAATTGAACCCCAGGCAGCAAGATATAAGCCGCCTAACCCCCAATCTACCCGAGAGGGTTGTGGCTTAAGGTCTTGCGATGGGACAACACAAAGCTCACAGAGCTGCCTTCTTCTTTATTCAGGACGTTCTTCGCGGGTTCTCCGCTTCCAGGAACATGGGTTGGCAAAGAGGCCACTGCCCCAAGCCCTGAGCCCCTGAACCCAAAGCCTCCCCTTTTGGAGCCTTGAAGCTTCGACTCCGGGACTTTGGGGCCTTTGAGGGCGTTTGCGATGAAGCAGCCGGGTCTCCCATAGCTAGCTCCGACGAGCGCAAGCAAGTCGACGAAGCAGGTCATGGCTCTGGTGTCGCAGGGGGCATGGGGCTTCAGGGCTCTGGGCTCTGTAAACTGCTGTAATTTGGACTTATGGTTTCATTGCTGTGAAGGGTTAAGAGGGTGAGCTACTTTGTTACAAGACGTATTCCGAATGTATTACATAATATTTGTGTAAGCACTTATGTAGTGTGCAGGCTCAGGAAGTCTTTGCCACAAGCTCGGCAACAGATGGGGCTAGGTTCCCGACAGTCTCGGAGGACAGAACAAGCATGCAGCCTTCGGAACTTTGCATCTTCGCAGCTGCGAGCCACAAAGGCTCGATCCGAACAACAGCCCGGAGATGCAACACCTCCCCAGAGCCCAGGCAATCGAATCAATAAAACCCCCCAACTCCCGGACCCGCCCCCGCTCCACAAGATTGAGCACCATCAGGCCAAAATCACCAGCCTTTTCTACTGCAGTGGTTTCTGAGCTTCAGCGCGTTCATTTCAGAACCCGTTCTTTGAACAAGGCTCAAATCGGAGAGTGCAACTGTGAATGAAAAGAATTGAAAAGGCACGCTGAGAAGCGCTAGGAACGGCCGCCGAGTCTTGCTGGGCTTGATACCTCTTCCGCACACAAGGACATCACTTTACATAACAAACGCGAAACATATGACAGAGTCTCATGCTGCTTAAGGTTTACGAAAGCTTCCTAGGCCGCTGCTTCTTCACGCGAATTGGACTCGTGAATTGGCGGTAAACAGCACCACAACAATAGAGTCACAAGCAGAACCGAGGTTGACGCCAGTCTATCCCCAAAAGCCATAGGAAGAACTTGCTCCAAGACGAAGAAAGCTCCGAACATAAGCATCGCATTTGCGACAAGGCACATGGAAATTAGCGCACGTCCGACTGTCCTGTCGCTTAGTTTGCGCGTGCTGTAGGTCAGCCGGAGAGACACCCGCACCATTGTTGGGCCGAGCACAAGCCAGTACACGCCCGTCTCGACCACGCCACGCATAAACTCACCTGGAAGGAACCAGTCTAGCTTGAACCACATTACAGGGGACATCGCCTGCAAAATTCGCCAGTACGAGAAGGTATGGTTGGCAAGCTGGTAAACCAGCTGCCGCAAAAGCTTCGTGCGCACCATGTCCTCAAATTGCTCCGGAGACCCAAACCAGGCGGAGATGCATCGCAGGATGACATCCCGATCACAAAGAATTCGTTGACCATTGCTGTCAAGATGCTTGTCTACACAGCATTGGCTAAAGGAACGCTCGATGGTGAAGCAGCGGACTTGCTGCTGCATTACTTCGATGCTGTGGCAGTGCAGCAGAACTACGTATGCCAGAGTTGTCAAGCACGGAAGCATTAGAGCGCCGAGGACTAACCCGCCCTCCAATTGTACTTCCATGATGTCAATTTCAGTGAAGAAGAAAATGAGGAACATCGCGCAGAAACCCGCATGACCAAATATGAGTGCCGGGCCTACGAAAACCGGGCATACCTCCAGGTGCTTGCTTGCATCACGTTGCTGCGTGTGCATAAACCCTGCCATTTCGAAGACACACCACAATCTAGTGACAAAGCTCGGTATTGGTATTGGTATTGCTTCGACGTCAACCTGCTCCGCAAAGGGTAGTTAAGACGCCTCACGGGCGGCCAGCAAAATGCCGGCTCTAAACAGCTGAAAGCTCCAGGAGATGTACGTCGCGGGCCTCAGTGAGTGTATCAGATTGGCCTTCGCCACGTCAACCTGGTCCACGCATGCAACGTCCAGGAACACTTGCTTTTGGGGCTTCCAGAATAGAAGAGTCAAGTAATAGGCCACAGTCCCAGCCAGCGTGCACGCACCCCGCCACGAAATAACGCCAGCTACCTGCAAGGAAAAGGCCAGCAGAGCACTGAGCGTGCCCAGTATAAATGCTGGCAAGCCATTGCTACGATAGAGGATGCTGACATACTTTAACCAAAGACTCGTTTGCCAGCTGTGTGACCAAAACTCGTCAAGCTGGGTCGTCTTCTCGCTGAACTCTTGGAGCGGCTCCAGCTCTCCACGCATCCACGCACCGCGCGCTCTGTGCAACACGTGCGATGATCTGATCCCGCGGAGAATTTCTGGGTGCGCAGGTTGCATCCGAGACATCAGCGCCACACAACTCTCTATGAGATTCAAGAATTCGAAGTCCGCCTCTGCTGTGGCCTCCGAAGACGTTTCGGAGACCACGTGGTGGTTTTTGGAGAGATCAAGAGGCTCTAGAGCGACCTCTGGTAATTCATGTGGAAGGTTGAACTCCGGGCCACTTGCGGACATGGCGGCACTTAGGGCAGTCTCTTCGCAACTCCTCTCTTTCGCGGCTGCTATGGTCATGGTTCTGATTCCAGCCTTTAAGTGATAGTCTGGTGGAGGATTGGGGATACATCAAGAAGTGTTCTGAGGTCCCTGTAAGAACCTATGGTCCTAAGGCGATCCCGGCACCCAACTTCCGGAGACAAGATGTTCTTGAAAGGATAGACAGTGAAGATGCCTTAAGAAAGATGCTGAACGGCACAGCTTCGAGCCACAAAGGCCCGATCCGAACAACAGCCCGGAGATGCAAGACCTCCCCAGACCCCAGGCAATCGAATCAACAAAACCCCCCAACACCCGGACCCGCCCGCCCCCCAAAGATTGAGATGCTCAGGACTACGTCTCTCGAAACGCTGCTCCCGGGCTATGGGCTTGGGACATGTTTGGATGAGCTTCGGGCACACGAACAGGCAGGGCGAGCTCCGCAATTTTTATCGGGCGCCGCTGCGCGACTCTCCTGCAAGGCCTGCTGATTGCAAGCCTGCCTAAACCTCGACCTGCATCGACCTTCATCGACCTTTGGATTTACCGTCTGGAATCTTTGCTAAGGGTTTTTACGTTCGGGGTTTGTTGAAGGGCCCAACTCTACTTTCTCACCTTTCCTTTGGAATCTCCAGCTTTCTGAAAGCCTTTACAAGTGGGTTGACCCACACTCGCGCGCTTTACAGCAGCGTCAAGAGAACTACTTCTTCGGTAATCTGACTTCAACCCCCGCAGCATCCATGGGCAGCAAAAGGGCTCTTAAAGAGGCGCCTGCCCTCGTAAGTTTACGAGGATCTTCGTTTGCTAAAGCTCCGCAGAGAAGCGCTTCAGAGGATGCCACTGGGGCCCGAGCAATGTAATTCATGGCTCGATTTTTGGACCCAAAACTGGGGAACCCTTCTCTAATATGTGGAGAGTGCCAAAAAGAGAAGGAGAATCTGGCACCGGCTTCCGTCTGAGAAATTTTGCATCCGACAAGCGCCCCAACTCCATTGCTCCAGCCATAAATATAGGGCCTAAAGATGCGAAAACGTGCACAATGGAGGCCCCAATGTCCCAACCCTGAAACCAAACATTCTTGACTTACGAGGCAAAACAAAACCCTCTAGACATCCGCCTAGAACCTTGAACGTGAACTCTCGTATGGCTCAGAGCCCAGACACTTTCTGCAGACGGAAGCCTCACTTGGGCCGGGCCTAAAGCAGACATAGGCCCCCAGGAGTTGAAGCTAGCCCGAAACCCTGCTAAACCCTTGGGTGGGCTGGGGATCAGGTTTAGGGTGGACAGGAGTGTCGGGCTTGGGATGCTTGGGATTGACCGAAACTCAAGTCGAGTTTGCCTGATACGAAGGGAGGTTCCTTACATAAAAAAGGCTTGAACAAGGCTGTAAACCTCTTGACCATCAATCCATGGAGCCTTTTTGAAGAGCTTGGAAACCTCAAGCAGAGGGGCACCCTACTGGCTCAGCTTCCTCTTCTTCCAGCCCAAGAGTACCTGCAAGGATGAAGGGTTTCTGGTCCCGGAAGAGCAAGAGGTGGGGGGGGGGCGAAGGGGGAGGCTGTGGTGTACTAGTAGGGTTTGACTTGGCAGTTCGTAGCAGACTGGCCGGGTCTTGACTCTACGCCTCCTTGCAGTATCGCAGTGAAGCTCAGTGAAGCTTTCAGATTCGGGGGAGCTTCCAGCTTCAGTGTCTAGGCCTGCGCCCGTGAAGAAATCGTTCTTGGCGCGCCGGCCATCACGCGCCTACCACAAGGTGAGAGACCCTACTGCAGGCTTAGGGTTGGGCGAGGTCACTAAATAAAGAAGACCTCTGTGCTGCAAGGGTTTCGGCTTGACTCGGTCCGACACTTTTCGCATTTCCCTGCATGTCAGACGTGCCGGAGGCCATCAGGATGCGCTGGCAAACCCCACTTGGGCCCCGAGTCGCCTCAAGCGATCACATGGGCGGGGCGAAACGGGCATCCCTAAACCCGTGTGAAGCACGAAGCCCGAAAAAATGGACTTATGGACGCTCCGTTTCCCTGTTGGCATCGTTCGCACTGTTCGCACTGTTCGCGTGGTTCGCGGTGTTCGGGCTGTTCACCGTGTCCGCGGTGTTCGCGGTGTGCGCGCTGTTCGCGGTGCGCGCGCGCGCGCGCTGTTCGCCGAGTTGAAAACATGGGGGGGGGGGGGGGGGGGGGGGGGGGGATGTCCGGCGACGTGCGGGCCCCCCTACTTGGCGGCACCCTCAGTTGCCTGATGTTGCCTGTCCGTGCTTGGAAGACATCTGTGTGAACCCAAGTCCCGTTGTCGTACTTGCACTGTCTGTGTCAGTTGTCTGTGCACGAAAGACAAAGATCTGCCCAGGCCTGCTCCGATAAGGGGCTTGGACTGGTGCTGGTGGGCTGGTGAAGGGTTTGAGGGCTTAGGGTTGCAGCGGGTTGTAGGGTTCAGGGCCTCTCTGTAGGTTATGCTAATATGTTGCATTCTCCACATGCCGCTTGGCCTCGCGGCGCTCACGACAGCTTCCACGGTAAAGCCTTTCTCTGTCTGAACCTGTGCTGTTAGGGATAGGATTAAGGGGGACCCTTGGGGATATACACCCTCTGAATAAGGTCCCTGTTTAAGAGAGCCAGAAGAGGCTTCAGAAGGGGTTCCCTTTTAAGGGTCCCCCTTATCCTACCTAGGATGCTGGGCATCTCCCAACTGTTTACCCCTGTCATGTGCGATGAACAGAGAAGCGTCCGTTTTGAGATGTTCCTTGCTGGGGAGGATCAGGATGCTGGTGGGGATTTGCAAAGACAGGTTTGCCTGCCATCCGCACACAAGATATGTTTGAAGAACTGAGATGCAAAACGAACTAGCATGCAAACAACAAAGCTTGAATGCCTCGTGAATTTCTGGAATGGACTGAAAAGCTGAAGCCCTTCGCGTGTCAGAGTCTTTGGGGAGCTTGGCACGAGGCCCTCACGCTTCACAGGCGTGTGATTCAAGAAGCCAAAGAACCCCAGGCCCCGCCGAACCTGCAAACTCAACGAACAGCCACCGGCCTTCTTGATGGGACCAGAAGCCCCAAAGGTGATCATCCCAACCTTCGGTTTTGTTGGCTGCACATGAGGAGGGTACATATGGTACATGAGGGGTACATACGAGGAGGGTACTTGAGGGACTGCAGTCGCGGAGAACTTCCGCAACTCCCTGAGATGCCCAAAAGCGACCCCAAGCACTGCTGCACAGCTGCATGCTCCCCGTCGAGGCCGATGAGGCTTCCTGAACGTTCCAGGCCGCTCACGCTGCAGGTTTTGGTGTGGCCGCTGCAAGCGCCACCGCAACCCTAGAGCCTCACAACCTTTGACGGGAAGCTACGTGCAGCCCACCAAAAACACTCAGCCCTACTAGGGGTATCAGCGCATCTGAGTGCCATCCAAACTTTCCTTCCGCCCTCAACACACAACATCCCACCAAATGCTGTAGAGCTCAGTACCCACTTCGCAATCTCATACTGGACTCCAAGCCCCGGAGCTCCCGGAACCGAACCCCATGCATGGCCCAAGCCAAGGGTCCCCAAGAGTCGCGTCGGCTCGCTTCGATGGAGACCCGCGCTCTGCAGGAGTTGGGGAGCACCTCGGGAGGTCTGGTATGGGCAGACCCTCCAAGAGAAGGAGTTTCGGCATTTCAGGGCCCTTGACCCCTTCTCACCTAAGGCTTGCTCCTGCAAAGCGTTGCGACAGGATGCGGGACTGCAGTTTTTAGCGGGCAAAAATGTGCCTCAGACTTCTTTCGTGTGTCTAGGCCAAAGTGCTTTCTGCCAGCGTCGAAATGTGGCCCGTTCTCTTCTCTGCCGAGGCGACCATTCCATGTTTGTTTCTAACATGGGTCCATACTCCACAAGGGAGACCCAATTATGAAGAGGCTGTGCAGGACAGAAGCCTTGGAGTGACTGATGAAATCCTCTCACGAATGGGCCAACAACCGGATCATGCGTTTCTCCTGGCAGCATCTCCTTCAGTACGCGCAGGGGAGGAAAAGTATTTAGAATAAATGGCTTAGCTCGCTTGATGATCGCACGCCCCTAGAGTGCGGGCCTGAATCGTGTGCGGGCCTGAATCGGTCTAACCGAACTTCAACGAAATACACACCAGCACGACCAGAACGGGCGCGATATGCGTACGAGGAGGGGGAGGGGGGGGGAAGCCAAACTGAGCCTTGCTTCATCACAACCCTGCACTCAGCTTTGGCACACTGTCGATGTAGTCCTGCGACTGCTGCTTGAAGAGCTCAATGGAGGGCATGCTCACACACCTTTTGTGCTAGGGCTGAGACTTTTTCGCATTTTCACGGCTCAAAAGACCTCAAAGGTTTCAGGCAAGCTTCAGGATGTCTTGGGGCGCCCCTTTAAGAGTCGAGAAGTCGAGAGTCGCACATAAAAAGGGGCTTGGCAACCTGAAAATCCATACATCTCTGTACCCCCGTTATGCAGCCCCGGCCTGGGACACAGCAACACCATCCGGAAGAGTGAAGAGGAGTGTATAGTGTGGGGTTCCCTGCCTGACTTTCTTGCCCTCAGCGGCCAGAGCATCGTGGGCCTTTCCAAGGCATCCACTAGTGCCCACACGATGCTGATTCCCACATGCTGGGAATTCCAGAATTTTAACCTCCCCAGGCGCGGTCACTTTGGTTGATCCTTCTTTGGGCCGCGGGGAGGCGAGGGGGGGGGGGGAGGCGGGGGGCGGGGGGGGGCTGACCCTAAACCCTAAACCCTAAAATAACTAAGCCCTAAACCCTAAACCCGGTTGATTGGGAGCTTGGGCTTTGCAGATCTCCAGGACATGTCCCACACGTGCACTGGCCTGCAGCATCAGGTGGACCTCGCTGCCTGCGCTGAGCAGAGGGCAGAGCAGAGGGCAGAGCAGAGGGCAGAGCAGAGGGCTTGGGCTCTTTGCTGTCCCGAAACATCCAATCTTCGGTTCAAAAGCCAAAGGACTACGCAAGATGGAAGCGACTTTGAAGCGACTGTGGCAGGGGGCATTGGGCACTGGGCAAGCGATGCGGGCTGAACG